ATAACATAATAATCAGAATAAATTATTTTTATGGTACCAGAGCACTCCCAGTACCTCACAAAGAAGATCATTAAAAGCATAAAACACTGAAATGTTCAGTAGATAAAATATGAAGAAATCATATAAACAATAAATATTAAATCACTGTAGCAGGCATTAAAATAAAAAGGAAAAACCCAACACCCTTTTGTCTAAAGAGAGTGTCTTTATTTTCCTTTGGATCAAAGAAACTTGTGGCAAGGCTAAGGTGTAATTTTATTCCAGCCTGCTATTGCTTAAACATCCCTTATGTGCCCTACTTTAATTTTTATTGTTAGTTTTGGCATTCTATAAACTAAAGTGCACATCAGGAGGATTTAAATCCAGTTTTCTTGTGGCTACACAGTAGACAGTAGGACAGACAGCCAAAGATGGGGCAAACCAACTCCACTGCAGACATGGTGTAAAGTTTAGTCTCTCTGTCTACATCATTTACACTACGTCTGCCAGGCTGTAAAGAAGGAACAACAGCACTTCCATATCCTTCAGAAGTGTGGTGAAGTGCTGGGAAAGGTTGTGAGAGGCTTTGGCAGAGGAATCACATTAATAGGAGTAGCTGAACATGGTCAGGCTTGGTGGCCTTGACACCAGGTGACACTAAGTGGTGAAAGATGACAAGGGACTTGCATGGCTTTGTGGAATTTTTGAGGGTTGGATCAGCCTCTTACTGGTGTGGTAAAGAGGCTGAAATATGGACTCAGTTTTACCTGTATGACAACTTCCTTAGAACAACAAATCCTTCAGTTGGGAGTTCACAGCATTTAGAGCTTTCAACCCAAATCCATCAACCAAGAGATTGATGGTGGTTGATATGCTGATTGATTTCTAGGAGGCCAATGATAATTGATTGCCATTTCCATCGTGGTTATTTTTGCATGTCTAAAGTATTTAGGGAATGGTATGCAGATCATGTAAATTGATGGGTACTGTCATGGGGATAAACAAAAAGATCAGTTAGACAGTAAGATACTACTTAGTTAAATTATTTATTCTGCAGTGATGTTGAACTTTTCTGTTCAGTTAACATGACCAAAAAATGTGAAAGATTAAAAAAAAAATATCATATTCCAGATTGTAGAGTTGGGTAAATTTCTGTTTGAGGCTTATCTATCTTCAATCGTAAAATTACGAAACGCATAAAAATCTATGGTTTTAACAAGAAATGTACACAGTGCTTTGAGGGCTTCATTAACTTGTGCTGGGCTATCTGGTAGCAAATTGGCAAAATTCATACTGCCTGGAGAGCCTACAAAACTGCAAGCTATAAAATCATCCAGACAGATATTTGGATTGTGTCAAAAGAGCATAGTCAGCACGTTAAGGGAAGTGATTATTCCCCTCTGTTCAGCACTCACGAGAGCATATCTGAAATGCTATGTCCCATCTCTGTCCCCTGGTCCAAAAGAGATGCTGACAAGGCAGAGTGAACCCAGCAGATGCCTCAGGGGAACAGGCAGTTTGACATGGAAGGGAAAGCTGAGGGAATGTTTCCTCCCACCATGAAGAAATGCAAATGCTAAAGGCTGTTTTCACCTGTCTGATGGGTGGTTAGAGAAGCAGATGGAGCTAAACAACCTTGGAGATGCACAATGTAAATGTGACAGGCAACACAGGCAGATTGTAGCACAGGAAATGCTGATTAGATCGAAGGAAAAAAAAAGGTTTTCTATAATGTAGGTGGACAAGCATCTGTGTGGTTTGTACAGATCCATCCATGGTGATGCTAAAATCTCAGCTGAGCTCTGAGCAACCAGATCTACCTCTGAAATCTGCCTGAGCAAGCAGTGTAAAATAAGGTGATCTTCAGAGTCTTTGCCAACTTAATTCACTATGGGTCTTGGTGGCAAAACCTCTGCCACTTCTGGACTTAGGAACTTTTTCTTACCTGCTCTGAACTTGAATTTTATTCTTAGCACTTTGTACTATAAATTCTGAAATGAACATTTTTAGGAGCTGTTTAGTCAAGACATTTTCTTTTTAATGAAGAAATGTAATTTCTTTGAATGTAATTTTCTCCTGACTGAAAAACCCCAACATCAGAGCCACTGTGCACTGCTCAAGTGCAAGGGAGGTTTGATTTGCTACCTGTGTTTAATTTAAGCCTTTTGAGGTAATATTTATTAAAGAAACATGCTCTCTTACACAAGTCATATTTCCTCACTAATGTGCAATCTGAAGAGCTCCTCCTTTTTACAATATAATAGGAAATTTACTGCAAATTGAGCAGGATTATGTGTGGACAAAGTCAATCATATATGCACTCACAGGATTGTACTTGCATTTTGGGAAGAGTTCGATATTTTATTTTTTTATTATTTTTTATTTTTTTTCTGGTTGAGCACCTCAGAATTTTGACTGCAGCTCTGCATATGTAGTTATCCCTTTCTTTTACATTCATTCTTTGCTTTCAGCAGTTATTGCAGCACTGAAGTGTGAAAACACATGCTTAGAAGAATTAAAGTGTGATTAGCAATGGATGCTACTCCCTAAGTGTGGGTGTGCTGGCAGCAGTTAGTGCACTGGTAGCTTGGAAGAGGTCAATATACTATTTCTGGCACTGCTGGCATCTCATGAACACCAAAACCAGTGTAGGTGCTGGTGGAGGATCTAAAGATACATGAGCAACTGGTATTTTGAAACAAGCAAAGGGCACAGGAGGAAAAGGAGATCATCACAGGAGGGTGGAAGGTTAAGGAGACAAGGCAAAGGGAAGGGAAACAAGTCTGAAAAACAAGACTCCCTTTTGGTGATCAAAGAATTTTGTTTGTAACTGACAGAAGCTACTCGGGATACAACGATTACTGCTGTGTCCTGGGTATGTGCATGTGATACGAAACTAAGGGAGAGATGTTTATTTGGTTTAAACTGTTAGAGCATTGTTGATTTTAAACATGCTGTCCTTGTTTATGCTAGCAGATGATCTGTCCTCAAAAGCATTCCCACTGTCAGTATTCTACATATTGGAAATTTTTAATTGCACTCATATTTTTTTGCATTCAAATCTCCTCTCACTTGCTTCCATCAGGAGTAACATTTTCCTTCTTCTGGAAGACTCAAGATCAGCAGGCAAAGTTTCTCCCTGCCTCTGGTGGACAAGTAATATCCAGTGGTTTCAAAATCTGTTCAAATGAAGGTGAAGGCTCAGTGGAATTTTACACCCGTGGGAATGAAAGGATGAAGTGGAAAGCAAGCTTTAGTCCACCAGGTAAAGTTTAGAATGAGAAAAAATAGTAATTTCATTGTTATATTTGACTTTATTCTCATGGACAGAGGTAATGCTAAGAGAAGAGGATATCTGAAAACACCTACAGACCTCTGTGCTTAAGAATTCTCTTGATGTGGGGAGAGATGATAAAGTACAAGCTGAAAAACAGTGTTAGAGTATTATAGAATATTTGCCATTCAGTAACAGTTCTCAGGTCCAACTTCCAGTTGTTTCTGGAGTTGTTATTGACAGCAATAGATTAATGAATGTTTAGATGGAAACATGAGCAAGAAATGCAGATTAATCCCAGCTAGTGCTCAGGATATTCTAGAACTGGTGGGCTGTCCTCTGCTGCCTCCTAAATTAAGACTTTATTTGGTAACTATCTGACTGGGTGTTTAGTGCTTTCATAATTCTGTTATCTGTTGAGTGCCAAGTTTTCTATGCCATGCCATAGTATTAATAAACACTTTGGTCTATCACATATCTTACTGCTTCTATTTGAACTGTCTATTGCTGGGAGCAGTAATACCTAGTGACTGGAACAAATTCTGGTCTTCTAGCAATGCTAATGACACTCAAGAACTATTTTCTTGCCTTAGTTTGACTACCTGTACATTGTTAAATTAGGACTTTCAAATCTCTTAGTAGCAGAGAATTATGAAGCTTAATGAATCAGTTTAGATATCTTATTTTAAGAGAAAAGCTGCTAAAATGGGAAGAGTAATTCACACATTTGTGGATTATCCATGTGAAAATGAATATTATGTTTTCTGCTTCTCAAGCATAACGAAGAAACTGTGATAACTTTTAACTAGTCAATTTTCTTGTTCTTCAGTTCTTGCAGTCTTTGTGTCTTTCTTGCTGAACTCAGTTTTGAGACAGTGTTGGAGAGACCTCAAATCTTGGCCAATAGCACTTAGCAAGTGTAATTTATGAAGCTGCAGTGAGCCCAAGTTCAGACAAAGCTAACAGGCATTCTGCCAAAGTATGGGCTTCCCCAGGGGTGTAAAGATTAATATACAGGACATCAGCATTCCATAATTCACTCTTAGTACATCCTATACAGCTCTAGAGCATTGCCCAAGTCAGCAAAAACACACTGAACAGGAAAGACTCTAAACGGAATTGAGTCATGGATTTTGCTGTGACTTTTAATGTGTTGCAGGTCCTTACTGGACTCATATTCTCTTTACTTGGAAGTCAAGAGAAGGACTGAAAGTCTACGTCAACGGAACTCTAAACACGACTGATCCAGATGGGAAAGTTTTCTATGACTATGGAGACCCCAGTGCAAATCTTCTGACTGGGACAGAGGGGGATCAGACCAAACGTTATGTGAATGGAGCATTTGATGAGTTCATCATATGGGAAAGGGCTCTCACCCCCCATGAAATTGAGCAGTACTTCACAGCTGCTATTGGTGAGTAGATGCACTGTTGTCACAATGCATCTTCTGTAAAGATGCTGACTTAAAAATACTTAGTGTGAGGGATTTGAGTTGATTTTGCATCTCTCAACCACTCAACATAATTTTCAGAGGCAGAAGAAGTCAGGTAAAAACTGCCACTGAAACACTCAGCTGTCTTTGGATGTGCAGTCTCCATCTTCAGTTCTAGCTCCTTACCTGAAGTGATAAAGACTCATTAAATCATGTGTGTTTGTGAACTTAGGAGAAAGAGAACAGCTGAAATGGAATTGAAATGGCAAAGAATCAGGATTAGAACAAAGACTTAGAAGATTGCCCAGTAAACCCTGTCAGTGCTTCTATGGATCTTTATAATAAACTTTTCACTACAAGAAAGGCTGTTCCTATTAAGTGTGAGTAGCAATTAGAAAACATCCATTTTGGGAATAAAGCTATGGGGCATCTGGAACATTTGGCTTTGCTGGCAGTTTCCCTTCTTTCATTTATTCTTACTAGGCTGCTGAGAGCTAAAGCAGTTCCACCCATAACTCTTGTGCTTTTAAACCTTTGGGAATCATTTTCACAATGGAAACTCTTTGTAGAACACAGAACTTCTGAGGCATGCCTGGAAATGAGAATGTCTGTGTTTGTGACTTCCAGGTTTGGTTACACCAATCAAATATATACAAAATATATTTCACAAAAAATCAAGTATAAACTAGTTTATGCAGAAAAGAAGTCACTGAAAAAAAGAAACCCCTCCATCTGGTATGTAATGAAGTAATCTATTTGATTTTGCCACTCAAAGAGTAGGAATTTCACTTAAGTTTTTTCCTATTAAAACCTTTTTATTTAAAAAAATGATTCCTATTCAAGTCTTCAGAAATTCTGATTGGGAGAGTATTCACTTGGTAGTAATTTGATACAGGAAATAGCTTTAAAAATCTTAAAAAGAAAAGTTTATAATGTTCTGGTCATGTTGGAAAAAATGCTTTTGTATTTGGCTGCTGTATCTTTCACAACAATTACACCACCCAACTCAAAGCCACCATAAATCACACTCTTTGATTTACTGTAACTCAAGAAGAATGTTATGCTGCTCAACTCAAGAACAGCAGATTTTCACATTGACCTGATTCATCTATATGTGTGCCCTGTTTCACTGTCAGACAAGTATGGCTTGTGTAAATACAAAGAGAATTTTTTGTTAACCCCTCTAATTCTTGTGAGCTCACAGCAACCACCCCCTGATCCCTCCACCCTCCCATCTTCACTCCAGCCAGTCATCAAGGCATCCTGGAAGGCTCTTTCCATGAATTCAAATCCTGATCAGGACTTAAGTTTTCACTTCATTCCTCTATATTTTGGTCTGGAAAGAGTCTTACTGAGTCTCAGAATATCTGGTTGCTGGTTATTAATGTTTGTAGCTCCCTTTTGAAGCCCTGCAGAACTCGTTTGGTCCTCTGATCCCACTAGAGTCTAAATATTTAAGGAGTTGTGCAGGATTTTGCCTGCATCCTACCTTTTTTCAATCCCTGCTGATTTTTTATGAGGCTGTGTAGTAAACTCCTTGATTTATGCATTGAGATGTTCATGCTGAGCTCGTGTGAGTTTACTGCAATTTGCATGACGTTAGTTGTTGTGTAGTTGGTTGGGTTTTTTTCCTTCTACTTCAGATTTTCAGGGTGATTTGGAACTATCATTTTGCTGTGAAAAATAACTTTGTAGCCTCTTAATTGAAAGTGAAGCTTGAGGTGTATTTGCTAGGGGCTTAAGAATAAAAACATAAAGGGATGTCAAGTATTTTATTTTTTTTTGTAAGTCTGAAGAATTCAAGCCAATATTATTTTACCATACTCAGGTGATTAGGAGCACTTGAGAAATGTGGAATATTAAATATTTTGCTTTTTCCTTCAAAGGAATGGACTGATCAGATTTTATAAATTTTCCAATTTAATGTATGAAATTAGAACATTCTTAGAGGAAGAAATGGATATTACAATAGTAATCAACATAGTAAAGTTCTTCTTGTTATGTGTTTATTGACTTTGGAGGACTTATAACAGATTAAAGCTGGGGTAATGTGGTTTGACCTAAGCAACTTAATAGGACAGCCTGTTTTTTAATTGAGTAAATCATCATGTTCCTTTTGGATCCATGAGAGAAATGTGTCCTGTATATGCAGCTACTCTTTGATTGCACTGAAGCACCACACTCCTGGCAAATATAAATTCTTGGTACAATGCAGATGAGAAGAAAATTCCATTTCTCTATCACAAATGGCTAATAAATCCTTTTGCCCAGAAAGGAATCAATACTTTTAAAATGGAGCAACTGGAAGCTATCCAAAATCAAGTTTATTCTTTCTGTCTTGACAAATCGTTTATGACATGCTCATATGGTAATTTTCCATGGATATAGTGCTAGTGGGGGACATTTATTAGCAAAGTCTGTCTGATTAATAGCACCCTTGCTGTTGCTTGATACCAACTTACAAACACCTAATAGAGGCTCAAACCACTAATGAAGATTGTGTTTGACTCCCTGGCCCCTGTTATTTGTTTTTTGCAAAGCAGACAGGACCCAAAAGCTTGAGCAGAGCACCATTTCCACCAATGCTCTCTCAGCTGAGGGTGCCTTAGTTTTGCTGCAAGTAATGGAAGTATTTCCATTGGCTTGGGATATTCCTTACAGATTTTCTAATGTGGAAAAGTCTTTCTGAACTTGCCTTCATGGATGTGATTTTATTTGGCACTCCAGCAACTGACACTCAAGATATAAGTAAACATTAGCATTTGGAGATCATAGCTGAGACTTGAATCTCATTTTTTCCAGTGTCTCTATGTTCCCAGTCCCAGGTTATCACATATACAGAAATAAAACAAGATCACATATGAGATTGTCAGAAGTGCCTATAGATTATTATTTATTTCCAATAAGATATAGTATATTTTTTTAAAAGTTTCCCTAAATATTTTGTAGAAATATTGAGGGAAGAGCTATGAGGAGAGGCTGAGGGAGCTGGGGGTGTTCAGCCTGGAGAAGAGGAGGCTCAGGGGAGACCTTATCACCCTCTGCAACTCCCTGACAGGAGGTTGGAGTCAGGTGGGGGTTGGTCTCTTCTCCCAGGCAACCAGCAGCAGGACAAGAGGGCACAGACTCAAGCTCTGCCAGGGGAGGGTTAGGTTGGAGATTAGGAAGAGATTTTTTTACAGAGAGAGTGCTCAGGCATTGGAATGTGCTGCCCAGGGAGGTGGTGGATTCACCATCCCTGGAGGTTTTCAAGCTGAGACTGGATGTGGCACTTAGTGCCATGGTCTGGTAACCACTGTAGGGTTGCACTTGATGATCTTGGAGGTCTTTTCCAACCCTGTTAATTCCATGATAAATGTTTTAACTTCTTGTCCTTTTTTCATTGAGCTATAACACCTGAAATTTCCTGTTTGCAAACAAATATTTAAGCATTTAAGACTTAGACTATTGCAATACTTATTTGTATAAAGATGATGAAATCAAATTGGTGAGAGAAACAGTGTTTTAAACAAGCCTGTGTACCTACAGCACTTCAAGCAAATCATATCCACAGAACAGCAAATCTGTGGCTTTGTTAGAACTGATTCAGCCAGCAGTGAGAATAGTTATATAAATGTGTATCTGATATAAATGTCAGATTTTATCATTCTCCTTTGTGTTTGTGTTTCCCCAGGTGTGCAAGTTTTGCTTTCTTCAACACTTCCATGGTCTCTGATGACAACCACCACAAAACCTATGGTAGGACAATTCTCATAACTCATTTCTCTAGTGTCAGAATGTGGATATATTACATGATTACAGACCCTTCTTGCTTCATAATTTTCATTAATAGGACTTATTTTAGGACCCCAATTATAAACCCTTTCAGATATGCTTTGGGAGAATTTTTAGCCATTATTTGAAGATGGGAGCACTTCAGAACTCCTAATGTATGACAGATAAAGGAAATTTGTTGTTGGATAAGCATATTTTCTATATTAAAACCAGGAAAAAAGTAAAAACTTCTGAAGTCTTACAATTAACTTTGAGGATGGAACACATTAAGAACCGTTTTGCTAATTTTTCCCTTTGTTTCCTTTAAAATGAGAAAAAAATTTCCATCACAATAACTTAAATTAGTTTTCAACTGCTTAGTAAAAGTGTAATGGAAAAGATTAAAATAAAATTAATTTTTCATATGGAGAGCACATGCAATTAGCTGCAATCCACCTCTGTGCAATTAGCTGTTGCAGGATATTGTCACGTTCTTGCTCTCTACAGTGTCAAAGTTCTATTAAATTCCTTCTTGTTTACAGATAATTTCAGGAAACCATGGTAGATATGATCTGAAAAAAAATAATCTTTGAATATTCTGTTTATTCTTTCTATCATCTCTCTATCTGTTTATCTGTCTACCTTTCCATCCATGTGCTTTCCTTTTTCCTTTGGCTTCTGTAGCCTCCTGAGTGTAAACCAAGCAGTTTGCTATGCCTCAAATTCCCTTTTGGGACTAGCCCAATAAATCCTGACCAACACATGGAATAATTTGTGACCAATTGTGTCTCTGCTGTAGCTCTCTACAAATGCCTATCATCCCATCATCACTAACCTGACCGAGGAGAGAGGGAACTTTCGCTCCCCTGACACTATGCTGAGCTACCTGGAGAACATGTCCTTCAGCTTGCCCAACAAATCCTTGTCAGAAAATACTGCCCTAAGCCTCACAGAGGTAAGAGTGCAAACACTGAAATTGCTCCTGGATGTGGAATATCAAATGCAGAATATACAAATGAAAAAAAAAAAAAAAAAAGCCTGAGCTACTTTAGGGAATAGTAGAACATGAGCTTCAATGAGAGGAAATGGTTTAGAGATCTTATTAGTTCTTGGAGATGCTATTTTTTTAGACCCCTGCATGGCCCAGCTGATGCAAAATGCAGGAGTTTGATAGTCTGTCAGGTGCAGGACATAAAGACACTTATCAGAGCAGTGAAGCAACAGAATGAGACATTCAAGAGTTGGTAGCAGCTCCCTGGTGCAGGGAGAACTGTGCTTGGGGCTGTATCCATCTGGCCCCAGGTACCTGCCCAGGTGCAACTTGTTCTCTTTGAGAGTCACACCTGTACCAGAAGCTTAAAACCTTATTAACTAGTGCCTGGTCTTCTGTTGGCATTCATGGCTCCTGTGGTAAGCACAGGATGAGTTGTACTTCTCCTTTGTGAAGTCACACTCTGCCCACTCTGCACTGGAGGTGAGAAGCTGAGCTCGATTCCTATGTGGGTATATGATGAACCTCCCCTGAAATGGCTTCAAGTCATTTATTTTATTTAAGCTAATCCACAGAGGGAGGAAAAAAAAAAGAAGGCGTTTTCTACAGCCTGAGCTGAGAACATGGGGTCATGTTCTGCTAACATAAAGCTAGTGTTCTGTAAAATGATGGGCATCTAATTCCCTGATTTCAGCAGGCTAGAAAGCTATTATTACAGTAATCAGCTCTGGCCTGGCTAGTGATTGTTCCTTTAAGCCTGTGGGTAATACCAGGGTGACAAGGATGCTTTACTCAGACAAACAATTTAAATAAATGCTTCTGAAAACGACATGGACAGCAATTGATAGTTTGTGTTAAAAGCTTAGCATTTGCAAAGTGTAAAGCTTGGATTTCACGGATCACAGTTTAATATGTAGCAAAACCCCTTCTAAAAAAGCTCTAATACATCGTTTCCTTTGTTTTACTGAAAAATTTGTGTGGGCTCTAAATTGAAAATAGAAGATTGTCCTGCCAGATTCCTTACCTGTTTCCCACATCATTCCAGTTGCCATTTGGTTGCTCATTCACGCTATCTGATGGTGCTTTGTGTGCCATGAAAGTGATTTGCAGACAGAAATGTGGACCATGATTATCTTTAGCGAAGCTATTTTGGGAATTAAACACAAGAGAGTCCTGATCATACATAGCCACTCTGTCATTTGTTTGATTGATGGTTGAACTTTCTATTGTCTGCAGCTAATTCCCTGACAGACAGGCACTGAGCATGCATGTGATTTTCTGCAAAGTTATCTCTGTCCTGATTGCTGTGTGCCTCACAGCACAAGGAAATTTGATTTAAGTGATAGGCAATAACACAATAATGCTTTGCCTCTGACAAACCTCACTTGGATTTAGTTGTGTCATGTCTTCCACATTTCACAGTGGAGCTTCCTTATATTCAGTGATTCTTTAAAGGCATTTTAATAGATACCTTTAAACAGGAGATGTGGGTTTTTTTCTTTTAATTTTCAGTGCAATTTTCTGTGCTCCTTTTCTTCCTCTTCTTTGTCTTTATCAGCAAAACTCCTTAGGACAAGGGACCACATTGTGCTGAGCACTTGAACAGTGCCTACCATGACAGATCTTGACCTCAACAACAACCCTTAAGTGCAAAAGTTAAGCAGCTAATAAATTGTACATGGGGCCCAGAAATCTAGTGCTGTTGAAATCTGTAGTCATCTGAGACTAGAAGAGGAATTGATGTCATATGAGTTTAGATCAAATGGGAGAACAAGCTCACTTTAGTCTTGGTTCAGTCTGCTCCTCTGTAGTTAACGATTGCACTTTGGGAGTTACATGGTGGTGTTACTTTTAATAAATAAACTATCAGTTTAAAATGTCACCATGCAGAACACGGTGAGTACTTGCTGGTAGAGAGGAATCTGTTACTTGAATCAAAGTGGGTTTGTCATCTTAACACACATCTAAGAACATCCTAGCTGAGATCTGCCTTGGGTCCTTGCCAGAAGATGTAGCTGATTCATAAATAAATAATGTATTTGTATTTATCTTTTAGGCCTTTTTAAAAGCAATTGAAGACTTTATGTTACTGCCCAACTTGATTGATGGACCAGAGGTAAGAGAAATGGGCTTAAATTTTGGTTCCATAAATTCACATGGATGATAATGGAACTGGTGGTCTCTATTATTCAGCTTGTTAGGACTTTTTAGCACTATAACTTACTTATTTTCTCATCTGTCACTTTCATATTTGCCTAAAGATCCATAGACAAAACAATTATGTCATTTTCTTTTATAATATGTTTTTGAGGGTTAAAATGATGGAACTTTATCTGCTGCTATTTCCACATATTTCAGGATGAATGAAACAAAACTCAATTTTTAAAATAACAGACTTTGCACTAAAGTTCCTCCTTTTTCAGCACTGAACTTTAATATGTATTTTTAAAATAACAGGCATTGCACTGAAGTTACTCCTTTTTCAGCACTGAACTTTAATATTTAAGGGTTTAGATGTTTATATTTCTTTGGTAGATTGATTTTTTCAATGCACATGAAATATGTGTTTATGTTTGTATTTCTTTGGTAGATTGATTTTTTTCAATGCACATGAAATATGTGTTAGTGTTTACCTGTTTAGGGATCTGAAGTTTTGAGAAAGAATCAACATAATATAGGGAAAAGTGATTTGTATCAATGTTCTTTCTCTTCTAGTCTTACTATGAGTGTGCAGAGAACTGAGAACTTTCAGAGATTTGTGTTTGAAGCTTAGGAAAGCAGAGATTTCAGAACAGGAGCTTTTAAACTGAGAGGCTAAAGCAGCAAATCCAGGTCCCATTGAAGCCTAAAATGCTTTTAAGACAAAAAAAGATGTCTAATTGATTTAAGTTCTTAGCCTAAAATCCTTGATCATCTCTGATGTAAATAGATTTCAGATAAAATTCAGAAATGAGATTTCTTATTCCATTGAAACATGCATTAACTCTGAGATTTTATGGATCAAGTTTCAACCTGGAGGGTTAAAGTAGCTTTATACTGAGGAGAATTTTAATAAAGATGAAGGAAAGGTCAAAATGTAGTGGTTCAGCTTAGTTCCAATAAAGATCTGATACTAGTCTTTATAATTTGTCAAAAAAAGTCTCTCAGTTCTTGGCCTCATTCTACTGAATCCTGAGTCTAATTGACTGTCAAATGCTGTTTGGAGCAACAGCCATTTGGAGATGTTCAATAAAACATAATATTTTGTGAAGTTAGGCTCTGGGTGGCATCAATTTGTGTTACATTTTAGCCACTAGATGCAAAGAATTGTAGAGAAAGTCAAAGTTGTCTTTGGGCTGTTGAGTCCCAGAGGAATTTAAAATGACACCCTGATTTTTGTGCTGTGAATGGCAGTTTCTTTGTTGCAGCACCTTCTCTTTCTTCCCTCAGACTCCTCAGATATTTGGCAGTTTAATACAAACCATTGACAGTGTGATGACTCATATGACACAGAATCTGGATGAAAACTCATTGCCTCTCACTATTGAGGGCACATCACCTGTGGCAGGTAGGATTTAGTAGAAATATTCTCTCTGGACTATCTGGATGTCCTAAATGCTTCTGTGCTTGCAGCTCCTTCTTTGCCAATATGAAGGAGGAAATCAAACCACCTAATTTTCCCTTTTGAATGCAAACCAGAGTTTCAGTTGTAGAAAGATGACTGTGCAGTTAGTCCAGAGCTAATTGGCTTTGACTGTGCCTGAACTTCCTTGAGGTTATTTGGGGAGGAATTCAGAATATGAATTTTATGTGGGGAATCTAGTAATACTATGCTAATAGAGTTAAAGGGCCTAGAGCTCTTATGCAGCACTTCCAAGTTGCAGATGTCTGGATGCTACAAACCTGAATTTTTTTTTTGCAAGGTTTTTGCAAGAGACTGCAAATAATAGGAATAGTTTTGACCTTTTTAGGAGAATTTCATTTTACTGCTGTTTAGCATCCTAGAACCATAATTTCATCTGCATCTTTGGATGCTTCAGGTATCAAAGGTAATTTGTCTGTCCTGGTATTCTACTGTGCCTTGTCGAGACCTGTGTGAAGGGTGAATAACCTGAGTAGTTACCAGTGCCATTAATCACTGCATGGACTCTCTTGAACACTGGGATTCTCAAATGGAGGTCTGAAATAATGCCTTCAAATGTCAGTGGAAGAGGGTTATTAATCTGTTTAACTTGTCCTGGTAAGCTCAGTGTTGGAGCCTGAGTGAAGTGATCCATGGGATATTAACAGTGCATGTACTACCTTCTCTGTCATAAAGGAATCAGCTATAAAAGGCAATTTTGTACTTGGGGAATTTACTATATTTTCTCCAAACAGCTGAGGGCTTTAAATTCAAGGCTTGCAATAGCTATTAGGGAAGTCTAGTTAAACAGTCAAGTAGGTTGTAGAGGCTATTGATTTTCTGATATTTTTGTTTGGGTTATCACACAGATTACACTATGGTCAAAATGCATCCTCAGACTCTGAATTTGTCCCACTATCGATTTCCATCTCAAGGGCAGAGTTATATTTCCATTCCCAGTGAAGCTTTTCATGAAAAAGGTAAGGGAAATATTAAAGGGAGGAGTGGAGTTGTATACACAAGGATTCCAAAAATGATTTTGCTTGAAAACAGGTTTTGCTTTGCTTTATTATTCCAAGGAGCTGATCTGATCCCTGTTGATTGTCCTGGCTCTAAGGAAACAGCAGTTGTCTTGTCATACTAATGAATAATTAACATGATAGAGTTTTGGTATTACTTGAGTTAGTGTTGAATAATAGAGCTGGGCCACAGAGACTGTGAAGCCATTTAATTCTGACATATTTTTACATCAGAGAAGTCATAATTTCACACATTTTTTTCACATCATCTGGTTATTTTAAGAAATTACAGGATGTCAGATTAGATATTACTTTATCCCTTCATTAAACCATAAAATGACAAGTTTAAACAACAGCAGCTACAGAAACAGAATTAAGATACAGACAACAGTCACAGCAAAAACTCAGAAATCTGCAGCTTTGCTCAATAAAATAACAATATTTGCAGTTAATTATCTAGGTTTTACTCAGGGGTGGAAGGAACCTATTTACAAAAAGCATGTACTGCATCCTCAAATCTTTGAAAATCTGACTTATGTGACATAAATTCCACCCCAGAGCCCTTTGTGCTGTCACCTCTGTTGAAGGCAGGTCTGTCCCTTTTCAGAAAGTGCAAAGTTAGCTGAAAATAACCTGCAGTGAGAAATTCTCTGATAATTACTGAACTGTCTGCCTGATTTGTGATGACAGCTTTGTTTCTTTGCACTGGCAGGGGCTCTGGCTGGAGCCTGCAAGTGCTCCAAGCCTTGAATAACTATAATTGCAAACCAAGTTGTAATGCCAAAAATAGCATGTGAGAGGACTTTTTTCCTTTTCCACTTATAAAGTTTCTCACCATGCAGATTCTTTTTTCCTTCAGAACATTGTCATGCTTCGTATCCTGAAATGATCCAGCACATTAAATGTTTTATCCTTTTTCCAGCTTAAGCTCACTTGTGAGCAATTTCAGCCTTCAGGCCACACTTCTACACCATCCAGATGAGCTAACCTAAGAAATCTGTTATTTCACCTTGAAGAGTTGACACTATAAATACTTGGAACCCAGCAAAAGGGCTAGTAAAAGCCATCTGTGTGGCTCACTCATAGAAAACACACGTCTGTCCCTTCACTCAGATGCTGCAGAGCCCATAAAGACTTGGAATGTGGGCAGCAAAGAGAAAACCAGTGTCAGAACTGGTTGCTCTGTCTGAGTTTCATAAACTGCCAGTTGGTGTAGGTGGTTGTGAAATGGCCTTGAGATTACTGCAGCTCCCATTGAGACAGACTCTGGTGTGCCCTCTGATCCTTTCTGCTGCTGTGTGTGGGATTTATAATTGACAACTGACTCCTTTAGCAACTTCTTTTGGAAGTATGGTTGTCCAGGGCAGGCATCCTTCTGTTTTACTTCTGATATCTGTCTCCTGTGCTGTACAACACAGTCATACATTTTCACTTACTTAAAAGAACAACCAGAAATCTGCTAAAGCAAGGAAAGTCTCAAGGTTCTTAATTAACACAGTTTTTCAGACTTAGGAAAGAAGTGTCTCTTGCTTGAAACTGTTGCTCTGAGGAATAATCCCTGTTCTCTTTTCACAGCTTGGATTACCATTGTTGGCCTTCTTTACCATAACATGCATTATTTCTTTCACAATATCAACCCTATGGATACCAAGTAAGTATCTCAGACCTTTCATGCTGTAACAGCTTGTTTATTACCTTAGTGATATACCTTTATAACAGTCATGTCATTATCAGTTTAAATAAATTACAAGCCCTAATCCTGATTCTGCAATATTGAGGACATGTAGTCATTAACTAGAGAGAGATTAAAGCTTACATTAGATGTTTTATTTCATGTTGCAATAAAATAGATTCCCATAGCGACATGTTTGTCTTTCTTTTCTTCTCCTTCCATTCATCAGATCTGGTACTAGAATTGCATAATTTTAATCTGTCTCATAAAAGGAAATTACATCTTTTCTCTTGACACATATAGAGATAAAGCTTGTACTTAAATGAATCAAGCAAGAAAATATAACATCCCTCTCTAGATAAAATCTGAATCCTAATCCTAGAAACCTTTGAGGTAATTTTATAACAGGAGACCAAGCAATGCTTGAAAGACCTTTTCTTTTAGATACTGCATCAGTGAAATCATTAGTAGATAAGATAAGTAAAGGCAGAGCTGTATACCTCTCTGCAATACAGGTCCCCAGGGGATTTTGAAAGGCCATCCATGTAAATCATTACACTTTCCTTCTAAGCAAGTAGGACTTTGTGTTTGCATTTGGTTTCCACTGGGGTACATCGATTATTTTACACTTTCAGTCTTTTCCAACCTGTGCCTTTTCACTGGGTTATTACTGACAGCAGAAGGAAAGATGCAACATCTCTGCTCCCATGAAGGTCAGGGATTGCCTTCCTCTCCTTCCCTACAGTTACATAGAAGGTCATGGGAATTCATTTGTGAACTCAGGGTGAAGAATCCTGGCTTGATTGATCCAGATTGGATTACAATTCAGGCTGATCACACTGGGATAATCACACAGCTATTACTCAAGATCATTTCTCAATCAATAGCAAGCTGTGCTCTTGTTTGCTCTCTCAAATAAAGGACACTTAGCAGTAGCTGTAAGGGAACCAAGTCATTAGTCTGCAATATTTACTACTGACATGGTGAAATAAAGGCAATAATTTATGACACCTTATGTTTTTCAAACAGGAGGATCAGTGCAATTTATTAAGTTAATAAGACATAGTCTCAATTTTTCAAAGGGAGAAAGGGAATGAATATGATCCTGACTTAGGTCAGAGTTTAGCAAGCAAAATATGATTAAAGATGTTGTATGTCATATTCTAATGCATTGTCATAGATCCTGCAGCTCTGGCATAGCAAAGTAAAACAGTTATGCCATATTTGTGTAGATTCTCTGAAATCTGTGGGATAGCACAACCTGGAGACCCATTGCAGTTCCACTGAGTTGTATGTGTTTTTTAGCACTCATTTTCAGAAGGAAGGATCTGGCCTTGCTGCAGTGCTAAAGAGAAACACAGACATGAGAGCAGAAATGTTTCCTAAATCTCTATTATTAATCCAAACTGCTTGAACTGTTTGCAGTATGTGATGCAGGGCAGAATCATGTCTATAAAATTGCAGATGTAGGTCTGTCCAAAACAGCATCTAAAAAGGTAACAACACAAGGAATGCTAACTTAGCAATTTTTTCTCTGTGGAATCCAACCCCAGGTATTCAAAAAATGCTTTAAAAATAAGTATGCACTTCTCTGCTGCTTATTTTTCTTTTCTTGGGCTCTACTATTATAACTTTTTTGCTTACTTTTCAGTAGAATAGCAACTTTTTCTCAGAGCACTTTGTTTCAAAGACTTTCTTTTATGTTCCTTCTAGCACTGGGCTACTCGAACACCTGTAATTTAAAGCTTGTCCATTTGTTTCTTAACAGCAATATTTTTTTCTTTTGTGGTGGAAAAACTAAAACCAAAACTCTTGAAGCTTTTGTCCTGTACAGACAGATGACTTCTATTTTCAGATGACATAAATAACAGTTTCTAAGGGGAGTTAACTTCTGACTTTCTACAAAAAAAAAAAATTTGAATCAAAAAAATGTTTTGAGCCCAGTTCTGCTTCCACTCAGACACTGTTTGTGGAGATCTGTAGTAATCCCAGCAAAGGTAATTTGCCATCTGACATCAGGGTCATGGTGGAGAAGGCTTGTGCATGTCCAGAAACACTGTTTGTGGCTTGTTAGGAAGATATTTCATGCTTCAAAATTCACTAAGATCTCTAAAGCTCAAACATCAGATGAAGGGTTTGAAATAAAGGTCTATCCTCTTAATCCATGTTGGAGAAATCTCAAAATGTTGGATAATGGTTTTAACATTGAGTCCTTCTCTAAATTTAGCTTTTCACATCAGAGCAGCAAATTCTGCTCTCAGATGAACAAATTGCAGGCACATGCTGGTTATTGGGAGCAGAAGTAATCTTTGATACTGATGGGGTTATTTCAAAGATCAGGACTTGTGTTTGGGGTCATCCTAAATGAGTTCTGTTCTTTTTGACCTTGCCAAGGAACTGAGTGAAGTTATTTGAAGGTCTGACATGACTTTTTCTGTTGTTCCCTGAAAGTAAAATAAGAAACCCTGGCAAACAAGGGGTGGGTGTAAATCAGGTGGGTTTTAACATGCTTTGCAAACTGTCTCTGTCCAGGGGTGGGCTAAGTTTGGAAGCCCATGTTGGTGGTTAATTCATATTTCTCATAGTAAATGCCATTCATTCCCATGCTAAAGAGGTAGAGATGACAAAGATCATTTCACTCTTGCACAGTTTGTTACTGAGAGTGTAAAAAATTTTACCCTGCAGCCAAATGGATCTCAGTTACTCCTAAATGTGTGAAAATGCCAAAGTCATAAGTTTTAGCTGAAAGCAGAAATAAAAGGGTCTTATGTACTGTAAAATTATTTCAGACTAGAAAAAAATGTATTGCTTGGACTAATCAAGTATTTAGTCAAGTTCAGCTGTTTGTATTGTGACCTGACTTGCTCTGTAACAAACCTAACTGGACATAATCAATTTTTCAAAGGAAAGCTATAAATTTCTTTTAATATATTCCTATATATATATGTTTCTATGCACTATATCAGTGTGTCTTACACACTAATATGTGTGTTTAATCAGACAGCCTGAAAATTCCCTGCAAGTTTCCTCCCTATTTTGGTTGCTTTGTTTAGGTTATTTTTAGATCCCTTAGGATTCTAATTCTCCAAAGCACTTTCAGCAAGGCTTGTAAATCTTTGCAAAAGAGGAGCAGAGTGAAGGAGCATTTATTTATCAAGTCTCCAGGTGCCCAAAGGTGTTCCCTATATTTTCTAGCTATGCCTTCTAGTCCTGTAGGATCTTTTGGGGGCAGATCTTGCTCCCCTCTAGAAATTAATTGACTTGAATGGAAAAAGGAGGTCCTGTGTTTCTGGTGTTGTGGGTGTTGTAGATGAACTAAAAAAATGGGATTTTTTTCCTTAATATGTTTGTTTCTTTCCAAGGATTGCTGAAGCTGCTGCCTACAAAGGTTGTATGATCTCAGCAAGCAGTTATCTTATCTCTATCAAAGTGGAACCTCTACCCAAGCTGTCCCACAATCTGTCAGGATCTCCTCTCATTACCATCCAGCTCACCCACAAGTTGGTAAGTGAAATGGAAACAACCAGTTTTGTCTACAGTCAGGACTGTTGAAACCTTCACTGCCTCTGATGACTTCTTTGTATTTCTCTTGTAATTTTTGTGGGTGTTTTTAGTAGCAGTTCTGATGGTATTTGTGGCTACAATATTATGTTTTTCCAATCACTGCCCTTCAATGACTTGTTTCTGTCACTGGAAAAAGTTGATTAGTGAACATGTTGAAAAGGAAGGTGAAATGACAAGTACAGCTTTGGCCTTTCTGTGTCTGTTGTTCTATGGGTGTGTTTGTGCATTCTGCAGCAGAGTGGAATGAATTGCTGCTTTCTCATTAGAGCTGTCAAGAACAAGAATTCACTTCTGATTTTTGTGCTTGGTCTTAATCCACACGGAGATAACTGAGGGTTTGGAACATTCCAGGGAAGAAACTCCTCCAAGGGCAGGTACAAGTATGCTGGGCAGAGCATCTCTGGGCTAGGAATGGAGCAGGTTCAAATCCCTGTTCTAGTCTGAACTGCCCTTTCCAGAGAGCCAAAGGTCTGAAAAATGAGAGCTAAGAAATATGACAGTCTGAGAAAACTTGGAGAAAAGTTTGAATAAAACTGATCCATTTTGGTAAAGCATTTCAATTTCACCAAATTAACAAGTTCCAGCAAGAAACTGGAAAAAATAGCTGGTTTTGGTTGCTTTTGGAGGAAGAGGTGTCTCTGTCTTGTCAGTGGCATGGAGAAGAGCTGAGTTCCAACTCAGGTGCTGGCAAGAGGGATACAGAACCTATGACCCACTTAGAGCACAGAATGGGAATGGAAATGAAAGACTGAGGTTCTTAAATATTTCCTAGGAAACATTTCTTAGATGTTCTTCTGAGAATTTTATCATATTTTTCTTTCAGTGGCTATTTTCAAGCTACTTTATCTTCTTCCTGTTGGGCCTCTCATAAAGATAAAGCTACAGAAAACATAGAAGTGAAGTGTTGTTGTTTTGCTGACAGTTTTTCAAACTAAGGACTCCTAAATGTCCTTATTGGCCTCTTGGAGGCAGGCAGTGGTGGAGTGAAGGCTGTATTTTGTGTAGATGATTTACAAAATGTGCTTTGCTCTATTTATCCAGCTTTTCCTCATGCTGTAGTATGATGATTTGGTTGTGGGGAAGATGCAGAGTGAAAAGTTGAGTAGAATGTTGCAGCTCTGCTGAGGTGGGAAATACACTGAATCTGATAGGAAGAGGTTTTTGCCTCTGACACCTATGGCTTTCAGAATATAGTTTATCTTCTGGCTTTTAATTAATGGCTAAGTTTAATATCAAGGAATGGATGAATAGATTATTCCAGTTACAGTGGCCAAATCTGTTCTCTTTTACATTGCTGTGTCTTCAATGAATTTCATGGAATAATTCTCAACAACACAAACTTAGGAATTTACTTGTGAATTTACTTATAAATTACTGAAGAAAATTTACAGAAGTAAATTGAAATGGATTTACTGAAGCAGATTGGGAAATGACTACATATTCCTGGAAGGTTTTGTAGGATAGCAGCACAGGTCCTTTCTGTCATCCTACATATTATTTTACCCTGAAGTGGCTTCATTTGGTTGAGTATGACCCCTCTTAAAATAAAAGTAGGATGTAAAATGCAAAAGAAATTCTGGCTGCAAAATCACTGTGCTTAAGTATAGGCTTTAAAGAGTAATAGGCAAGCTATTTATCTAAGTTTATGATTGAATAGTATGATTAAACTGAAAGCATAAAATCTGGCCCAGAAACCTCTTTTATCCATTAAATATTGTAGGAATGGGAGAAACATTTGAATTAGATACCATCTCATTCTTATAGTTGTTTGCTTCCCATAATGTTCTCAGTTTAAGTGTAATAAGAAAAACTAAAAAATACCGAGTCCAAACAAATCATTTTTCTTTTTTAAAGGTTTGAGTCTGACTTTTAAAATCTTTTTCTTCTAATATGTATAGGAAAATGCCAATCATTGAAACAGAAAACAAAAGGGAGTCAAATAAACCACATCTATTTTAGCAGATAGTTATAAAGGGAATGTCTGTGAACTGAGTATCACCTCCAGAAACAAAACTTCACAGAACATTTATCATTCCACAGCTCAACTCACAGTTGGTTAAATCTCCTCCTAGGCAAAGATTCTCTGGGTTTCTCTGAACCTGTCTGCATTTCTTACATAGCTCTTAGGAGCTTGTGAGATGCTTAAATTTCTCTCTTTTTTTGAAACATGGGATGGTCCAAACTGAGGCTAATATCTAATGAGTTAGTTTGGAATGCAGGGAATATTTATAAATGACATGTCAATGATTCCTTTTCTGGAGAGCATCATAGGGCAGAGGGCACAGGAGATGAAGGGTGACAACCTGGGGGATGAATTGGAGGCTAAACTGGGGCTGTGGAGCACAGGAGTGAAATGACCTCATAGAAAATATAACATATATATGTATAATATTTGGTGTTAATACCACAGGTGCAAGGACCAGGGAGACTAGACTGGGGACTCACCTCCATCAGAGAGGGTGAAAGAAAAAACCATCAGTAATTACAGCCATTAGGCCTTGATCTTCAGGCTCACAGCTAATTTCTCATGGGACCAGTACTGCTGATTGATATTCTAGCAACAGAGCAGGCAGAAAATTTTCTGGTCAAGCTTCCATTAGTTTTCTAACTTAAAACAGAATTTCTTGTGATTCAGGACAAATAGGTCATCCCATTTTTTTTCACATGATTAAAATATTATTTGTTTAAATTCTTCTTTTGAAAAAAAGACTCTCTGTGGATAGGATAGATGTGTATGTTTCACTACTCAGAGTGTTTTAATCATCACTATTTTAACAGTTTTTGTTACAAAGTCCCAAACCCTATTTTTTTTCTGGTTACTCTTTCTTTTACCTTGTGAGCATATTAACAGCTTTAGAAATATTGTTGTGCAAGAAGTCTTCATCAAGGATTTTAAACTGACTTGTTTGCATAAGAATACAAAGTGATTACATGTTTTAGTCTTTTTGCCATTCTGAGGAAGGTTTTTCTGCTTGTCCTACCCACAGTGTCCACTTTTATAACACAATAACATAGCTGGGGGTGAAAAGCAATTCTCATTTTCCTCTTCTGTTGATATAAGATAGTCTTTTTTCTGATATTAGGGGATCATTCAGGGCCTTTTTGCTTGGGACTTCTTACATATTAAAGAATTACATTAATGGATTTAAAAAATGATGATGCTTTGCTCTTCACCAACTTGGATGAACTATTGTCTCCAGCAAAAAAGATCTCAGAAATCAACTAACACCTTCAGTGTGTGTGGGAGGATGTGAAGAGTGATGGTAGTTTGCAGCTGGAAGCAACTTAGTCTCGACCTGTGCAGATGTTTTGTAATGAGGCAACAGTACATTTTGTAAAATGATTGTCCTGAAAAAATAAATCTGGTTTTAGGATGAGGGGTTTTTTTTTTTCATAGCAAGAGCAACAAGAGAAAAACTAACATTTCACTTCTGTGATCCAAGAAATTACAGCACAGGGTAGAAATTTAGAAGAGATGAATGTCAAAGCTGAAATGCAACACAACACGCTCTGAAAAAAAAGTCAGAAGAGGCAACAGAGGGAAAAATGGTGTCAAACTGCACCAATATTTTGTACACCCCATGTGGTTATGTAGCATAGACCTTGACTTTTGACCATGCTGAAGTCACTTTTTGACACTCATGGAGACAAAGTATCTATAAATTCTGATTTCCTGACTGTCTTTCAGCTTATAGAAATAGCAGCTTGGTAGAAATCCAGGCATAACTGGTACAGAGAGGACAAAGAACTGATGAAGGTGATGAGATGAAAGTCATGCCCTGGATGATGCAGCAGAGCACAGAGCTCACAGCTCCATTGATCCCTTACTGTTGACTGGCACTACAGAGAAAATTGCCTTACATCTAGAAAAAAACTTTTTGTACACTAGTTTCAAGCACTACAAGTTTTCTCCAGGGCTTTATTTCCTCTTTGCTTTTTGCAGAAGGGAAACATGTGCAGCTGCAGTTTGGGAGAGTTATAAGCTCCTGGCTGTTACACCCTCTGTGAGAGGTCTCACATGAAGATTAGATGCAAATTGGGAATTCTTAATGCAGCTGGTTTTTCTCCCAAATATAATTTGGGGAAAAGCCACTTTAAAGATTTGTTTGATTCTGGGAAAAAGATGTGTTTTCCTATGATCCTACCAAGGTAGGACTAATTGAGCATTGTTCCATCTCAGCCCTTTGCTGCTTGTGGTTCATTTTAACAAACAGAGTGCTTGGGGAATTTGCCTGACCATGAAGTGTTAATCTTTCCTACTATATTATTGTACTGAATCATTCAAACAGCTGCTGCTCTTCTCACTTTTAGGAACTGCTTCTGCTCTTTTACACTCTGCAGTGAATGCTTCCCATCAGAACCCCACTGTGCTCTGCTTGCTCTGTGCTCCTCTCTGCAGCTTCAGCAATGAAGCTTTATCAGCTTTTCGGCTTAATCCCATCTCCTATTCTGTTACATGACTTTCTTAAATCTCCAGAACCAGGAGTCATAGGAGAGCATCAGCATTGATTGTAGTTAGTGCAGCCTGAATGTCTGGGAAGTGCCCCCTGGGGTACTCCTTGGGAGGTGGTAAAATGCAGAGAAAAGCTGGAGTTGCTCTTCTCTAAACTGTGCTCCATTTATAGGAAAGTGCTGCTAGTCCTTTTGCAGTTCAGGGAGATAGAGACAAGGTTAAGGAACCATTTTCACTGAGCTTTTAATGAGGTAATGGGATTTTTGCCTCTAAAAGGTACTTGAATGTTATCCTTCTTTCTTTTTCCTGGGCATGCAATATCCTGAGGTTTGTTTAACATGGTTACTGATAAGAAAATAAAATAAGGGAATAACCAATTCCCATTTGTACACAAATATTAGTGCTGTTATGAGAGAGACAAATCAATGTGGAGCCAATTTATTTTTATGGCAAGTTAAGTGTTGACTAATTTATATATCGATTCAGG